TACACTTTTTTTCCAGTGTCCATCTCTTCTCCACTGCGAATGATGACATCCACATGTTGAATCATCCATGGATACTGAAATCCATCTGGTACTGTACCTCCCTCAAGTGATTATCCATCACATTTAGGTATCTGCCAGTTCAGGCAGATGTTAAAGATCCCATGGCACTATTCGAAAAGAGAAGGAAGTTTCTCGATGTCCTGGCCCAGTCCCCCAAAATAAAAAAATTGGTCACTCACTCCATGGCTGTTTGTGAGCCATTGCTGTGTGCAATTGACTGCTGTGTTTTGCCCACAAGAATACACAGTCAATCCACATTACAGTATATCCTGTGAAGTGCTTTGAGACGTCTCAATGATGTGATAAAGCACTATATCAACAATAAAATTACATTTGTATAGCACCTTCACGTCGGGAGGACGTCCCAAGGCGCTGGACAGTCAATGTTTCAGACATGAGCTGGGGGTTGGGATCGGGGAGGGTGGAGGGCAGGGGGGGGAAGGAGGATGATTGAAAGCACGGTTGAAGAGGAGGGTCTTGAGATAGGACTTGAAGGAGACAAGGAAGGGGGTGAGCCAGAGGGTCTGTGGGATGGAGTTTCAAAGGGTGGGGGCAGAGTGGCTGAAAGCCAGCCCTCCAATGGTGAGGCGGGCGAGGCAGGCAACAACAACTTGCCTTTTTACAGTGCCCTTCAGGCCGGACGGGGTCCCAGAGCGCTTAATAGTGGGCGATGCCAAGCCAGGGGGAGGGGAAAGGTGATCGTAGGCACGGTTGAAGAGGAAGGTCTTCAGTGGCGATCTTAAAATGGGAAGAGAGGGGGCAAGCAAAGGGATTGAGGGAGCGAGTTCTACAGCTTCGGGGCATAGTGGCTGAAAGCACAGCCACCAATGGTGGGGAGGAGGGTCCGGGAGGAGGCCGGAGCCAGTCGAGCAAAAGCAGCAGGTGGTGGTTTAGCGAGAGAGCAGGATGGAGATGGTGGCTGCCAGGGTGTGAAGGGATTTAAATACAAGAGTAAGGATCTTGAAATTGATCCGCTCTATGTCAGTGAGCTAATGAGTTTGACAAGGAATGCGGTAATGGAGGTACGGAGTTTAGTGCGGATGAGAATGTGGGCAGTGGAGTTTTGATTTAGTTGAATTTTGTGAACAGAGGAGCTGGGGAGACCTCAAGGAGGACATTTCAGCAGTCGATGCAAATCAAACGCAAGGATTAGTATTATTATTTCGGGGGAATAAATGCATCATTTAGCTGAACTAGAGTGATGTGTCAAATACTGACAAAAGCGTGAAAGAATACAAATACTGTATCAGTTTGAACTATTTGACTGAAATATTATGTCAGAACAATAGCAAAATATATTGGAGCATATTGTGTCTATTTTTATTGATCATTTGTTCAGACACAGCATCCTGGAAAATCCCTGCTGGGTTAGTGGGGAAATCTAATGATCCACACGGTCCAGGAAAGTCCCACATTCAACCACTACTGAGCTAACTGATCTCAGGCTGGTAAGCTAATAATAATAATCCTTTCATTTGATATAGTGCCGTATCACGTCATTAAGACGTCTCAAAGCGCTTCAAAGAATATATTGTAAAGTGGATTCACTGTGTATTTTGCGGGCAAAATGTGGCAAAGCTGTAAGGTTACTCAATTGCTGAGCAGTAAACCTGTTATGGTTACGAAAATTCGCATCCACTTTGCAGTGCTTTTGAATCTGTAATTTTCTTTGAATCTCAGTTTTCATTCCCTATGGTGCTTAATAGACTAACAAGTTTTGAATAAAAAGAGGTTGCTTCTTGAAATTATGTAACCCCGTTAGATGCGTATGGATGCTTACCATGACGAATGTACAACAACAACGACAAAATTACATTTATAGAGGGCCTTTCACGTCAGGAGGGGTGGGGTAATGTAAATCCAGAAATGGATTTATCACCTAAATCCCTAACACTCTGGATCCCCTGGTGTAAACTGGGGCGTTTGAATTCTGAATCTGACTTACAGCAACTTAAACATAGCCTTTCAATAGCTAAGTGTTCTAAAACCAGGAACAAATCCTTTGAATCCTTTCTTCTTCTATCTTTAGGAGATGGTGACATTTACATGGGTAGCACTACAGACTGAAAGAAGAGATGGTAGAACAGTCTATATTTAATTTTATATTAAAATTGTGTTTAAAAATAATTTAATTGTCTATATATACCTCTAAAATGTCAGTCTAGCTTACGATCACCACTAAAACCCTAGAGTATCTGATATACATTGGGAAGGTAATGTCATCCACAAAACTATTCTAAACACTTACTGAGGAACAATAAGTCCATGATGCTTTAGCTGTTAATATTTATCAAATTTAGTACCATTTGGGATGGCCAATTGGGATCCCTTCGAACCAGTGTTTGGGCAACCTTGTCATGCAAGACCAAGCAACGGTGACAATGTGGTGCATCTGAATCTAAGATACTTTGAAATTCGACTGCACATTGAACATCCGCTTGATGTTATCAGAGTAGCTTAATGCTCATGAATTAATCATTACCTATTCAAGCAAGAGAATGACATTATCAGACCTTCCCATTCATTAGGATGTTGCACTCCATCCTGTTTTTAGTTAGACGTTGATTCTCTTCCCAGTTGATCTCACCTTCCAAAAGGTACAATATTATAGGCAGCTTAGTTTTTTCCTTCACTTTCCTTGGCTGCCATTTCAATTCTTGATGTGATGGCCAAGAGCCTTGCGACTGAGCGCATGACCTTGTCAACTAAAGCACATTTTCTTCGCAAATTTACTGACAGCTAACTTTGTTCTATCTCTATTTTGTTTGTCCCTTAATCTGTCAAGCTAATCTTGAATACCCTGTGAAGACATTTGATGTCAAATGTGTCCAGCTTCTTGTCTGTAGCATTTCTCATTGGCCAGATTTCAGTGTCACATAGCAGCATGTATAAGATATTTCTTGTTTCACAATTTGATTCTTGCTTTGAGGGATACTTCAGTATTTTTCCAACCAGTTTGCTGAAAGCACTATTTGCTTTGCCAACTGTAGCCCGTATCTCCGTTCAATTGTTGCATGGTTTACTTTCAAGATAGGTGAAGTGTTTTATATTCTGTAGTGTTTGTGGAACACTGCTGTGCCCAATTGGACTGCTGTGTCTTGCCCATAAAATACAGTCGCTCCATTTAACAGTAAATCCTGTGAAGTACTTCTATTCTAAATGTTAGGTCTTTATGCCAGGTTTGGGCTGCAGATTATCTGGTGGGGAAAGCCCCACCTTCACCAGCATAACTGCTAACAAAATAATGTGGCCTTGCTTGAGGCACATGCGACTGGATTTGTTTTGTTGCAGCCTATGCCTTCTCCCGCTACTGGCTGACCATTGGTGACTGTGGGACATACAATATCATTGCATTAAACACATGTTGAAATCAACTTGGAGCCATTAAAGCACATTTGACACTATGCTTTATGAGTGTGGACCTCTTCTGGACCTAATAACAAACTGGGCTTCACACGATCATAGGATGTTTTGGATGAAGACCATACAGCTCATCTTTCCAGAACACCACCCTATCGTCCCTTTAAACTTATTTCTTCTTATTCTATTGTTTCGGTGCATCCTGAGATATTGATCTAGTGTATCTTTTGAATTTCATTTAACAACAACAAACAACAACTTGCACTTATATAGCGCCTTCCACGCAGGGTAGCGTCTCAGAGTGCTTAGCATTGGTGGAGCCTGACTCCGAGTTGTTGGAAGGGGGTTGGTGCCCGTAGGCACGGTCGAAGAGGAATGTTTTCAGGTGGGACTTGAAAGAGGGGAGTGTCAAGGCGAAGGGATTGATGAGTGTTCCAGAGTTTTGGGTCGTGGTGGCTAAAAGCACGACCTCCGATGGTGGGGTGGAGGATGCGAGGGACGAGCAGGAGGCCGGTGCCAGTCGAGCGGAGACGTTGGGCGTTGGATTGGGAAGTGAGGAGGTTGGAGAGGTAGGGAGGTGCCAGGGCATGAATGGATTTGAATGCGAGTGTGAGGATCTTGAAATCAATTTGCTTCTATTATTTACTTGCATATAAAATTGTATGTGCAAGTAAAAAATAGAAGCAAATGTCAGAAAGGGTAGAGTTATATCATCTAATATTCGGGTGTGGGTCTTGACCTTATGTTATTTAGATTGACAAAATTTCAGACCATTATTCATTTGCATTTAAACGTCAGCAGGGAGTGGTCACAGACTACTGGAACATGGGAGTTGTGACAGCCTTGAATCGCACATTGCCCTTCCAACAACGAGTTGAGTGTGTCTGTGTTGGGGGAGGGGGAGGGGGAAGAGTTCATAAAGTAAGCAAGTACGGTTCGACGTGTTGCAAAATCTAGAATAATCCTTGCATTTGATATAGCGGCCTCCATCACATTGTTGTGACGTCTCAAAAGCGCTCCATACAATATATTGTAAAGTGGATTGACTTGTGTATTTTGGGCAAAATATAGGCATCTTCCAGAACATTTCCTCGTCTGCAGCTCCGAACTTGTATCAATCCCTAATGAGTCAAGAGTGTATCGTTTCAGCACTGAGCAAAGACTGTGTCTTGTGATTCACTTCTTTGGTTACAAAATAGAAACTTGGGTCAGGGCCTTTCTCCTCACTATATCCCATCGCACTGTGTTACGAAAGATTATTGCTCAACCCAACCACTGCTCCCAGTGCCCCAACCCTCTTCCCTCGGCGCCCTGCAACACGCCACGTGTCACTGATGACGCGAGGTTTCGCAGTCCCCGTGGCGAAACAGGGAGGGGCGGGGAAGAGGAATGACAAGGGCGTCAGGGCGCATGCGCCGGCGCCGCTCTGCATCCCGGGATTGTAGTCTTTCGTCCTTCAGACGGCTGGTGCCGGAGCAGCGCGGCCACGTCGCTTCCTACATCTCCCAGCATTCCGCGCATTGGAGGATGACTCCCCCCCCCCCTCCCTCCCCCCCCCCCCCCTCCCTCCCTCCCGGCGGCATTGTTATTTCCTGGTTGGGAACGGCAGCCATTTTGGGTTGAGGAGCTCAGCCCGGCCCGGGGAGAAGCGGATAGGAGGGAGGAAAATACACACACACACACACACAGGGGGAGAAGGTTACCACGAATACAAGAAGACGAGCAAAGCACCGCAGCGAGAAGAGACCGAGAGGGTTTTTACGGGCGGAGAGCGAGCGGGTCAGAGTGAGATGTCAACCATGAATCCCGAATAGTGAGTGTCGTCTTCTTGTCTTTTGTTATTGACAGACAGACGCCTCTCTCTCTCTTTCTCTCTCTCTCTCTCTCTCTATATATATATATATGATATAGACGATACGTAATTATATCGCGGCGAGAAAAAGTCCCGAGTCACCGAGCGGCTGAATGTCCTCCCGAGCCCGGGGGTCGCTTGGCCCGGAATGCCGTCGAGGCGGTGCCGGGCCTCTGCCTCTGCCTCTCCGGCGGCCGCCCTGGGCCTGCGCTTCGTCTCCTGCTCTCGAGTAAACGAGTCGAGAGGGCGGTACGTAACGCGGGGAGAGGCCCGGGCTCTCCGGTGCTTTTCGTGTGACGCGGCCGCCCGGGGACGGGAGGGGGGGGGCGAAGGCTTCCTGGCGGGGGTCGCCGGGCTCCCTTCCCGGGAAGCCCAGGGTAATAAAGCCGCCGGCTCCTCCCGGGGCCTGGGTGGGAAGAGGAGGAACTGCAGGCGGGCGGGCGGGCGGACTGGCGCAGTTTGAGGGCATAGACCCCCCCCCCTCACCCCTTCCCCCCCACCCCCTCCCCCCCTCACCCCTTCCCCCCTCACCCCTCCCCCCGTCACCCCTTCCCCCCCCTCACCCCCCCCCCCCCCCCCCCCCCTCCCCCCCCCCTCACCCCTTCCCCACCCTCACCCCTTCCCCCCCCTCACCCCTCCCCCCCTCACCCCCCCCCCCCTCACCCCTCCCCCCTCACCCTTTCACCCCTTCCCCCCCCCTCACCCCTTCCCCCCCCTCACCCCTTCCCCCCCCTCACCCCTTCCCCCTCCCCCCCTCACCCCTTCCCCCCCCTCACCCCTTCCCCCCCCACCCCTTCCCCCCCCCCACCCCTTCCCCCCCCTCACCCCTTCCCCCCCCCTCACCCCTTCCCCCCCCCTCACCCCTTCCCCCCCTCACCCCTTCCCCCCTCACCCCTTCCCCCCCCTCACCCCTTCCCCCCCTCACCCCTTCCCCCCCTCACCCCTTCCCCCCCCCCACACACACACACCTGAAGAAACACTTGTCTTCGAGACGTTTTGATCTGCCCTTTGACTCATTCACCGTTCGGTTTCAGACGCTCCTTTGTATCCTTTTTTTGGGGGGGGTCCAAAAATAAAGATTTGTTGGGAAGTACCTCCCTCCCGAGTCCTCTTTTTATTTTGGGGGGGGGGGGGGGGTTGGGAGAGAGGGTTTTTGCTTATTGTTGCATCTTGAAATATTATGTGTTTACTTGGAAAATAAGATGACTCGGGTTGCCGTTGTGGACGGGAAACGAAGTGGTGAAAAGATTGGCTCAATTCTCTCTCTCTTCCCCCCCCCCCCCCCCACACACACACACCACCCCTTGACTTCGGGGTGCTGCACCTTATTGCAGGTTTAAATAAAAAAAGGGGGAGTTGGGGGTGGGGGGATTGCAACAAGTTTTCACGACTGAAATTGTCAAATTTCTATCGAAAGCGGTGCCTTCAAAACTTGCTCCAGACAGTCTCCGGACAAATGCGAAGCCCCGTTAAATTACTTGAAAGGGCTCCTTAGCGAAACGAAAAGACGCGTCAACGATTTGGGGGGCACTTTTTTTTTCATGTTCTTGCACGGCGTTTCCTTCCCCTCTCCGTTTTATTGTTCAAAGAATTTTTTTTTTTTTTGCAAGGCTGAGGATTTTCTTAATTTGCATTTCCTGACCAATTCCAACGTGATCCACCCAGGATGTCAGGCGTTCATCACGTGAGTCTTGAAAATACTGAGTTGAACACTCAGCATTAAACAAGTACTGGAGCGTCAGGGCCTCTTAATGGCCCTAAACAGATCCTCAAGTGACCTGTTCGGAACCTACTGAAATCGAGTTAATCCACAAGTATATTTTCCTCTTCTCGTCATCTGTTACAGTCCATTTTGCATTTTGATGGTCGTCGACATTTAGCGGGTCTGCGGAAGTTTTTTTTTACAAAAAAAATAAAAAATTGCCAAAATGCCTTTGTTTGGAAGTTTGGTGAGGACAAGATAAGGAGTGGCTGTAATATCGCTGTGGCTGAGTAGTCTGCTGATGTTTGCTGTTCAGTCAAGGACATGACTTGCTACATGGGCGAGGTGCTGGAAAGTTGTGGATGATTCTTCTCTGTTCCTTCCAATTATTACCTTAAGGTGGAGCGAAAAGTGAAATTATTAAAGTAGTGGTAATGGTTTATAGGTAGTACATTTTAATAAGTAATTATATGCTAACTTTGAACCAAAGCGACCAGAAAACTAGAATTCAGGATTTAGGTCAGGTTTTCTATTTGTTAAACTTGGCATGGTAGATTTCTACTTGTTAGATGCACTATTTTAAACATAGTAAAAGATTTTATTTCATGGAATATAATTTACCAAGTAGACACATAACATTAAAAATTAAAACACAGTTTAAAAATATTATCCTTTTAGAATACCTTCCTACAAATGCTGCACATTACAGTAAAATCCTGAGTGCTCTGAGGTGTTTCCAACAATAGAAGACATTATTTCAAATGTTAGATTATCCTTTGTATTTTGAATCGTGGCGAATTTTGCATTTGCATCTCACTTATTTGAGGAAAATATGAGTACAGTAGGAATTTGAAACCTGTTTTGAATAGCTTTTCACCCTTGCTATGTTGGTAACATGGGGGGGGGTGGGGTGGGGGTGTGGAGAGAGGCAGGGAAATGGCATTGTTGCAGATCACGTTGTAGTCATGATTTAAGAAAATGGTGGGGCAGGCTCAAGTGGCCAAATGGCCTACTCCTGATCCTATCTTCCCAGGAACTACAACATTTTAGATTTTAAAAGATTCTAGCAATCAATAGAATATACTATCAGGAGAAACCTTGACAATCAGTATGTTTTGTGAAAGAATACCTGTTTTGGGATAGAAATTGAAAGTTCTAACAAGAAGATCGAAGTCGATCTGATCCTTTTGTAAGTTTGAGTTGGTGTCTGGGCCCTAGGTTGTATTTTCACACCAATCTTGCCAGGTTTTTGATCCCAAATATTAAATATATATTTCAGTTGACTGCAAAACAGTATTGGTATGCACATTATCTTCTTAATGCTTGGATTTACTATACAGCAGTGCCAGTCTGATGAGTAAATAATCCACTGGATCCTAAATCTAGCTCTATCATTAATCCATTTCTCTCATGGACACTAATTTATGTTATTTCTGAGAGCCTGCAATGGATAGAAATTTACTTAAAAGTGTTAAACATTGTGTGAGCTCCATGGGAGAACTCAAAATGAAGTGCTAGAACAATTTGGTTTAATTTATATGATCCAGTGCTTGAGTAAGATCACATACTTCCACGATTATTGCAATATCGATTGCTGTACATGCTTTTAAATCCCGCTAGACAACCTACCACCGTGTTTTGTCCACTTTGTCTCACATCCCCCACAGTTCTAGCACCCTTCCAGTTGGGTGGAAGGGTGCTGTTCAACTTTTCTAAAGAGCTTTGAGAAGTTCTCCAATGTGAAATACATTATATACATATAAATTGTCCATATCTTGCAAGTCGTTTTCTCTCTTGACTTCTTTCTGCCTGCTTTCTTCCCAATTTCTTATATTGTCAATTCTAAGATGCAACAGCAAATACACTTAGGGCTACAATACCCTGAGTTCATGCCAGGATGTTCATGCCATTGCATAATCTCTTTCCTCCTCCCTTTCCCTCTTTCAGGTATTTCCAGTTTTCATCTGCTCTGCTCAGATGGTGGATAGGCAACGTATACCTCATTGCTCAATACAGCTGGAAGATGCACAACCAGCTTAAACTAACCTTTTTTGTTTTCCTTGTTGTGGGAAACTTATCTGTTTTGGCACCACCTTCGACAGTTATCTGAGATGTCCCTGTTTTTTTAAGACTAAAGAACTGCAGGAAATTGCTGTCATACGGTACACATGCTGGTTGCTAATTAAATTTCTTAATACCGCTGGCTACAAGCAACAAAAAGGATACTGTTAATTCAAAGTTGAAGCTAATTGAATTTGGCTCATTTATAACAAATGATTTTCAAGATTTTTTCTGCACTATTTTGAAATGCATTTTCTTAGTTTTGTGTTTTTGGGCAGAATTATTTTGATCTCCTGTGTCCAGTGATGAAAATATTCAATTTTGCATTCATGTCTCTGAAGAAGCCTGATGTGAGCACAATGTTAGGATAAAACAAATAGAGATGCAGTTCTTTTCCACTCCCATGTTTAAAAGAAAATGAAATGAGCAGACTTTCCTCTGTTGGTTGTTTTTCCGGTCCACATTTGTGACTTGTTTCCTTCTGTTGTGAATGACACAATGCACACATTCATACTAGTTGTTCCAAGATGTGCATTAATATGAAGTTAGCTCAACCCTCCTGAAATCCAGAACCTTTCCTGCAACAGGCATCATGAGCCTTTCACAATCATTGCCAAGATCCACTGGATCCTTATTCTCCCAACAAACTAACATGTAAGATACTTGTTTCTAACTTTCAAATGACTCTACATGCTTGCCTTACAGTCTTTCTCATTCTGCTCTATTAGCTAAGTCCTGCTTCCTGTCTCTCAATTCCCCCATCCCACAATTAGTTGTTCAGCTTTCAGCCATTTTACTCCTGTTTGGTACAGTTTAAAGCCCTGCTCAAAAGCCACTTCCCTCTCCATCCTTCCCCTTTGCAAGATTCCCACACTCTGAAACGATTTGAGTATTTTCCCACATAAAAGGTGCTACATTTTTTTTCAAACCTAACAGATTTTGTCTGATGTAAAGTCAATGTAATTCTGAATAGAATAAACGACTACCTATTTTCCCAGAATATTGCTGCAACCTCTATTAATTGCACCCAGTTGAACAATTAATTACTTAACCGGATGGAGCTCAAATGAAGTTGGAAAAATTGTCTCTAGGTGATTGTTAATGAATTTTAGAGAACACTAAAGCTAGGATGGATGTGTTGTTAAGAGCTATAAACTGGATGGTAAGATTATTGTTCAGAGCTAAATGAATTGTATTT